ACATTATTAAAAAATATTATCCTATTTCCTCTGATTTATGTTTACACCCTTTAATTTACAATTTCAGCAAAAAGGAGGGGCACTTATTGGATGAGTGCTCAATCAAGGGGGGAAGGACTTAAAATGGTTTCCTTCCAACAAACTTTAACTTTATTTTGCCTAAATCTTTTAGAGAAAAACACAAACGTTTATTCACATTATCCTCTTTGATGTGAAGTCAATATGGAGGTAGAAGAGTAAATGTAAGTTACTTGACAGAAAAGAAAAGAAACTATTTTTCTGTAGTTGACACTTAAAAAGATGTATGTAGCCTAAGTGGCAATAGAAACGGGATTGCCTTGTATCCTGATTATTCAAAAAAGTGAGGTAGGAGAGGGGGTCACTTGTGAGAATAGTACTTGTTTGATGTAAGGGCTCAGGGGTTGGGAGCTCATTTGTGCGAGGGAACTTATTAGAGGAAATACAGTATTTCACATGGGAGTACTAGTGCCTGCCCAACTTCTCCCTGCCTCCCTCCCCACCCATCCCAGATGGGTGCGAGTGAACCCCACTGAGATGTACAACAAAGAAAGTGACTTTACATTAACTTTGATGTTTAATTTATTAAAATACACAAAAGATAACTGCAACTTTATAGACTCTATAAAAGTCAATTTTAACACTTCTATTAAAAAATTAGATTACTACTGAAATTAAGATTTAAGAATCATTTCTCTTGTCAGGTTGAAAGGACCTCCGTTAATTTTTTGCTTTTCAATTTTGCCAACAAAAAAAGATCTGTTTGGAATAAAATTTACATTAGCTTTTGAAAACAATCTTAAACTAATCTAAAGGCTTTATAAATTTAACTTTTTTCTTGTAATCTATTTGTAAAAGCTATCTAAAAAATTTTAGTTACTATTTAATCCTTTAACTCCCAAGATCATCTTGTTACTTCTCCCCTTTAGCTGCTACACATTTCCTTGAAAAATCAGCAACAAGAATTTGGTGTTAAATCAGGATAATGACTTATACCTGATAAGTTTGAATATTCTCATTACCTGTTTTCCAGTCATATGTTTGGATAATTTAGAGAGAAGTTTCATGTTAATCACTTCTGGGAGTTAAAGGGTTAAATGTGCACTTTTACTATGAAAAAAATTAGATTGTTACAGTGTAGCTTGTGATTTCCATTGCTTGATAGTTGACGAGAACAAAGCTTAAGTGAACTATTGTGCATAAAAATTGAGGGCTAATAACTTTTAAGCTGTCTTCAAGACAATTTGTTACTAGCTCTCTGCTAGTTACTGAAAACTCAATGGGTTTTGTCTTCTGGATGTATAACAAAGCATGTAATGTCTGGGTTCCTGGAAACAGCTCTATTTTGTTTACCCTTGAGTCTCCATATTTCTCTTGCCTTTGTCTTAGGAAACATTGATACTGAAGGGGAAAACAGCTGTTTCCCAAGGAACCAGACTTTAAGTGTATATCAAATAAACGTACTTTTCATGAACTGCCCTGATTAAAAAGCACAAGAAACCTGCTAACTAGGGCTACAAAGGGAAACAAAGAACAGTTGAAGTTAGGGAAGGTTTGACTTAGCTGATAGTAAATGACCTAAATAACGGGGTAAATGGACAGGGCATCTTGTTTGAGTTACCAGGGGCTTTGAGTAAACTGAGTTTGAGTTGGAAGGGTACAACTGTAGTTCTTACAGCAGAATGTCTTTTCAGTTCTTGGTAGTGAAAAGATATAAAAATTGTTTGAAATGAAACCTTACATTTGTTTGGAGATCCCCTAGATCAAAAATTTGAGCCAATAAGTTAAATCAATATCAGAAATAAATAAATAGAAAATAGTTCTGGGTTCGCTAAGATATGGAGATATGGAAGAAATTCTTTTTTTACGAACAACAATGTATTATTTGTCTATCATTTAAACAACAAAGGCCTTTGCTGAAAAGGAAAGTTGACAAACAATCTCTGATTGAGATTAGTAGAAACTTTGCCATTCATTCATCAACCTGACTGAGTGGCACAAAAGGTGCTGATTGGTGATATTAAACACTCATAAAAATGATTCTGTGCAATAATGTAAAACACTGCTGCTCATCTCCTTGCAAAACACTGTGTATTATATAATAAACATAGTATTTAATATTCAATATTTAACTTGTAGCATTACCAATAATATTAATAGTAATTATCTTTCTTTATTAATTGTCTCACTACCAACTCAAAGCTTCAACAACCTCCTCCCCCCCCTTCCCTGAACAAAAAGTTGCATTGAAATGCTCTACCCAAGCACACATGTTGAATGAATCTTTGTGTGATCAAGGAAAATTGTTGAATTTAAAAAAGTTTTTAATGCTGTTGTTTGGTTTTTTGGTGGAAGCATCATTCTACAAAGTGATAATTTCCCATTGTGCCAATCACTCACAAAAGCAAACTCAGTCTTTACCTTTAAATGCCTTGTGTATTCCACTGATTTAAACTTCCACCCCACTCAGCAATGGTTCAAATTCACCACCTCTGGGGCACAAGCAACAGACAAATCCCCAGAGTTTGCCCAGAGGGGGTTATTGAAGCTTCAAATCAATCCACCCTTAATCTACATGTGGCCTTTAATTATCATTGGCTTTTCAGAAACAACAATTACTTATTACTCATTCCTATAAGAAATGCCTACCGGTATGTACCTCTAAGAAAGCTCCCCTACAGTGAACCATATTTTCTCAAAAGGGAACACCTATACCTCAATCTCCAAAGAAATTATAGCTAAGAAAAACCTGCATTTTCTTCTCCTGACGAACAAATAGAGAAGGTACAAAATCTCTATAAAATGCAGACCTCATGATTAAGGCACAATTTCAACTTAAATTTAGCAAGCTAGGATATGGCAGTAGTGTAAGTTATTTAATTATAGGCAATAACATGATTTTGGGTGCAATTTGGTGTTAATAAGCAGCAGTAAATTTTTCAAAGACAACAAACTGCACAGGAAGCTCATAGGATGAGGGCAATTCCTAATCTTTGAAAAATTTACAATTGCCTATTTACACTAAATTGCTTGCCAAAGCATGTTGTCACTTGTTAATAATTTAAATGAAAAACGCATCACAGAAAGTCAAAATGGACAAATTTTGGCAGCATGCATGTGCTATTTGTAATTTGCTCTCATTTTACAACTTTGCACTTGTGTTACTTGTAAAATGCACTAATTTTCAGCCAACCAGATGCATGTAATTTTTTCATGTCTATCATTAAGTACCGTATTTACTCGTGTATGAGTCGACCCCCCATTTTTAAGGACAAAAATCGGATTCTTCATCATTTCTAGTTAAGGAGGTAAAATTCAGACCGATAGAAATTTCCCAAAAAGTTAAACTCTTATTTCTGAGAATGTATTGAACAAACTGTAGAGCAAAATGTAACCGAGTGCTGTGAAGTGTATTAGCACTTGTTTATATTCCCACGATTTAAGCACACATGAGCTCTTCGATTTACTGGAGAAGTATTTTACCATATTTTGTAAATAGCACTGAAATGAATCTTCTTACATTTAACTAACCTTTATCTTATTTGTTGAGATTGAAAGGAGATCTAGAAGACCAAAGGAACACCAAAGAGCTTCGAAGGATCGCGCGTAACAAACAAAAGATCGCGCGAGACAACAGTATTTGCCAGGTTACTAAGCAACTGATCGATGAAAACGAAAGTTCAGCACCGTAAACAGCAACGAAACTGTACGAAAAAATGTCTGTTCTACAGATCAGAAGACACAACCGAAATCAGCTTCAGTAGCTTTGTATTCAAGACTCGTAAAATGTATTATTTCAAACTTTTTTGTTGACAAAGAATGCGCTGAAAACTGACGAAACTCCAACACAATTGGAACTGATTTTGTAAACTCGGTTTTCCTAACGGACTTCGGCTATTGTTTTGCTAATTTATTGGATTGCTTAGGTCAGGTCTTTGTGTATGACTCGTTTATAATTCGAGGGTGATCTTTTGGGCTGATTTTTTGGTCGCAAAAGTCGACTTATACACGAGTAAATAGGTATGTTAGGTAATTTACCTAGCTCTGTCATTTAGAGACTTGAAGAGACTGTGGAGCTTTGATTTCCATTTTGGGGATGACTTCTGTTGTAAGCCTCGCCATTTGGTTTCCTTAAGGCTTTTTCAAGCTGTTCCCAGAAGTAGGGTTTCACATTGCAGTTTTCCCAATCCAGGTAGGTTGTGTCTTGAAGAGCAAATGGTATTTCACAGTTCTTGTACATAACTGGGACAACCTGATGATATCGCACCCTGGAAAGCGCCTTGTGTAGCTCATGTGTACACCACTCACTTTTAATGAAGTCTGGGGAAAGTACTGCAATTGTTTTTTTACTGTAGCAAATTGCTTCAGTAATGTTTTGCACTATTGGTACACCAATAGCGAAAGTCTTAAAGTCAATACAGCACTCGAAACCTCGTTTTTCAAGCTCAGCATGAAGTTCTTTCACCCAGCCAACATCTTTGTAACAATAGCATATAAACACGTCATGCCTTGGTTCATAATCTGAAACAAAATCCAACCAGGTTTTTGATGAATGCACAACTCATGCTTAAGCCACAACTTTTTTTTTATCTTGGAGTGTTATGTTCCACTCACAAAGGGAGAAGTGAATATCTCACAAATGCAGAGTAAAAACACAGAATGAAAAAACTATGTAAAAATTGAAAACAAACCTTAACAATGCAACAACACAGGTAAAATCATGTGGCATTAATGTAGTGAAGCAAAATGAATATGATTCAAGTAAACATCTTGAACATAAACGAGACAAATTAGCACATGGTTGAACTGATGTATGGCAAAAAATTAAGTAAGTGTTTTAGCACGTTGAAGTTGAATTCCTGAAAGAGGGCTGGGGTTAACTAACAGACTAAATAGCTTTCATTTAAGTACTTTCTTGCTAAATCATAAGCTGGGTATAGATTAGATTGTTGTAATAGACATTGCAAAAAGTTATTGAATACCTATTTCTGGCAACTGTTTCAAAACTTCAGCACACTCAGCATTCTCTATATCTCCATTCTCATCTAACATTGGCTGGCAAGGGAAACACTTTGGATTATGGCTGTGTCTTGAGGAAGAGAACCACAGCCAACGTTTTTTCTTCGCAATAAATAATGATAGAGGCACTACAACTATGATAATAAAAAAAGCACAAGCGATGCCTATCATGACAATCTGACTGACATCTTGTGATGTTGCAGCCATGTTTGTCGTGGCAATCTTGGTGACAGCTTGTGATGTTGCAGTCAACTCTGGTTAAAACAAATGGATAATAAAATGAGTAATTTGAATTACACATGTCAAAAAAATTTATATTTTTATGAAATTCAATCATAAGATACCATTAGGGTTCAAAGGCCAAATGAAAAGACCAAAGCACAAGCAGTGGTTACAGTTTCATTTTCTTTATCTGAATGGTTAAAGAACTAGGTTGCAGACCGTTTCTTGAAACAGATTCACAAAAGCAAGTAGGGCAAAATGCTCTCGTACTTTGATTTACAGATCCATGCAGTACCCTTACTTGTAGTACTTGGATCTTCTCCTGGACAGTCAGCTTCATATACATTTGGTTGTATACCACTTGGATTCTTTGATGAGTTGGTAAGGAAAGGACATGGTTTACAGGCCTGTTCAGATGTCTGGCTAATGTTTGGCTGGTATGTTCCCTGAGGGCATGGAATGCGATCACGTCTTCCTGGAGGGCAATAAAAACCCGCTGGACATGGTCCTGCAATAGAATTCAAAACAAAATTTACCTATAGCTTGTATGTCTGTTTTCCCAATGTACACATAGTTTAAAAAAGGTAAAGGAGGGAATTTCCTTGAGCTTTCTATTGAGAAAATAAAACATATATACAATTGATATACTATATAATATACTATATGGCTCTGAGCTAAACCTTGTATGGATTCACCATTTGGTGGCCAGAAAAAAACAGTTGATTAGTCCTTGGAAATAAAATATTCAAAGAAAGAAAAGTGTACTTGAGAATTCAAGGAGAAGAAAATAAATTCATATCGGACAACACTGAGAATGTTTTCCTCAATTGACCCTGGAGCATAAACATGAAGTAATAAAAAAATCACAACTTCCTTCATATTATCCAAACACAGGTTCCCAAACTGGCACCTCTCACAGACTGCAAAATCAGTAGCCAAAATTTTTCTCTACCTGCCATGATGACCAAAATGATTTCTGCAGTAGAAATCTTGAGCTTGCATATTTTGTTTACCAATTTCAAGTCTCAAGAGAATTTCTAGCTTTACTGTTTGTAAATTATGCGTACAGTACATACATGCATACAAATATGCATGTAAATGAGAGGAAAGTCGAAAGAAACATCAGTTCTCCAGAAAAATAATATTATCACATGACCTAAAATGAGTAAACAAAACATAAAAGCTAAAGACATCTTCTGGAGTGCTGGTTTGTGAAACCCAAAGAGTAAACTTCAAATGACAAAGGAAAATTTGATCTTGTGCATGCATGGATCATAAATATCATAAAATTTTGTAATGCAGCTGGAAGACACCAATAATAAATCAACTCCCAAGATTTACAAATCAGTTCTCCATGTTGAACCCAATAAGTTTATAATATTTTCAGTTCTGAGAATCTAGGCATAAGACAATAAAGTATAATCTGGTGAATATTCCTCTTTCTTCTCATTTCATTTCTTCTTGAAATTGTATTGATTCAGTGAGAAGAAATTCCTATTTGGGTCACTCCTGAGATTGACAGGGTCAAGCCTAGGTGTGCCAAAGAGGTCTCCTGGATCCAAATATCAATTCTCTACTCTGTCTATAAATAACTTTTTTTTATAAATTAAGGTCTTCTGAGATACTTGTTTTAAGTTTAGATGTTTCATTTTTGTCATCACCTTTCTGCTTGAAAAATTAAGTATTAGTGTTGGAAGAAACTACTCACTATTTGCACCTGAGAGTGAAAGGATTAAATTAAGGGAAAAATCCCTAAACAATTAATTGTAAAAACTGTGATATTGCTTCATTGTCCTATGGGAGCTCAGTTGGGAGGAATTTTCAGAGCTGGAAAACAACCCCCCTTGAAAATACACATTTTTAGTTTCAACAGTGTCTAACCCAACTCTACTCCCTTTCAACTCAGCCCAATATTCTGTTGAGGGCTTTTCAATTCTTCTCTAGTTAATGAAAACAGCTACATTTATTTCCAAATCATGAAAACAGTGAAATTCCCTAACAGATTTCCAGATCAAATCCACACAAACAGATGTTTTAGATTTACAATATAAAAGTCAGGAATGAGAAATAGTCATCACAAGTAGGAATCAGTCAATCTTATCTTATAAGACCATTAACTTCAAGCATGACCAAAATGAATACCAACACACTCACAAAATAGCTGATGAGAACATATAATTAATATTAATAGCAAAACTTTAAGTAGCAGATACTATTTTGCAGACATGTATTTCTGAAGGGAAGCAGAATAAGATTGGGGGTTCATAAAAATTAGCAGGTGATACATCACCACACAGAGTAGATGGTACTGTGTAAAAAAAACCTCAATAAATGCAAGAAAGAGTCATTTACCATACCAACTTCAAGAAGAAATGTTTTTGTTGATTTCAGTCCATATTTGGAAGCTTTACATGTGTAGTTTCCTGCATCTTCCATGGTGACATTCTTAATTTCCAGATGGAAAACATAGTTGGGAGGTGTAACTATTACTCTTGGCTTGAAATATTCATACTTCTGTAGTTCATCATCCTCCATTACCATCATGTCATTCTTCAAGAAATAGCCAATTACACCATCAAAGCCTTGGATTTTACAAGTTATGTTGACTGTGGTTCCAATGTAAGCTGTGTCCAAACCATCAAGTTTTGCATACTCTATAACTGGGCCACTTGGTACTAAAATTAAAATAGACAACTTTGTAAGAATCAAATGTTACTCAAACCTTTTCCTCGTATTCAAAGCCAAGTCAATGTATTCAATGATAATAGATTTCATTGTATTTAATCCTGCAGTTCCAGTCCATCAGCACCAACAACAAAATGTTTTGTAAGCAAATTTGATGACTTTTTTCAAGCAATTTTAATTTTTTCACTCTTCTACATTCATAGCTCCTTAAGATTGAATTAAAACCTATAGCCTGTACAGTAAGGTCAATGCAGAAAGGTTTGTACAAAAATTCCATTCTCAAATTAAACTGATGGCTGCGAATGTTTCAACCAACAATTAAATGCAATTTACCAAAATTTGGTTGTCTCACAAAAATTTTACTCAGCAAAATAATAAGGATTTCATAGCCTACACCCCAGTACTTAATGCAGCAGTAAAAATATATTAAATCTGCATCAATCTACTTTCAAAATTTTTCTTAATGTCTGTTCCTTTTTCAGGTTCTAAAAATAACTTTGCTAATTTCTTTACTTTCTCACAAGTTCCATTATCCAGCTGAATGCACAGATGACATTATAACTCATTTAATGTCTTAGGAAATAGAATACATGGCCACAGCCCTGCCACAATAATTACCCTATTTACTGAAAGGTCTGCCAAAATTCTCTGCTGTTTTTTTTTTTTTTTTTTACCCAAAATCTACTATCATCCGTCTCCAACTGTTCTTTGCTTTCACAGGCAAAGAAGAGGTCAAATCTCATGTTTGGTCAAATCTCATATTTGTTCAAATTCTGTGTTTAAGTGTGCTGATGAGGAGCATCAATTTAAAATGCATTAGTTTGCTTTTAACATGTGTCAGTCTTATGAGATCATTTCATATGATTGAAGACAACAGTTTTCTAAACCAGTCTGACACACAATAGAGAGATAACTCTAAATATAGCACTTGAGCCTACTCAGTCTGCACCATGATTTAAGGATAATAGTTTTTCCTTTAAATTTAGGGCAAGCTGGCAGCTACAGGCATTTTTTATACTTGGGTCTTAGTTGTGAGGGGAAAAGCTTGCTCCAAAGATTATATTACAGACCAGGCATGGTTACCTACCCTTGACAATCAACTTAGCTGTAGCTGAATAACTTTTCCCCTTCTCATTTGTCACAACACATGTGTAGTTTCCTGCATCCTCTTCTAAAATTTGTGTGACATGTAGACTTCGTTTGCAGGATCCAAATTTGTATTTCTCCCTTTTCAGTTTGGAATCCAGAGAAATAAGTATGCCATTAATCAGCCATGTTACATTTGCCGCAAAATTTGAATAGACATTGCATTTAAATCTGTGGCTGCCATCCACATCTCTTGTTATGGTAGATCCAGAGGTCATACTTATATAGGGGTCTGCATCATCTGAGGGGTGAGGGGATCCCGGAATGATTCCATTATCACAATTTCCTGTGTCACGTCTGTGCCTTTTTGATGAAAAGTACACTAAATAAGAAGACAATCAATCAATTAATCATTATAATTAGTTTGTGAATTGGATAGTTTGCAAATAACTGAATGATTTAATATTATTTCAAACTAAAAAAGAGTTGGTTCTGATAATGTATGAAGTTAATAACCACAGGTTAACCTGACTTTGCTTCAATATCCACAATTAATGACACAATTCAAAAGCCTAGGTTGCTCAAGAAACCCTTCTTTGCAATACTGAATATAACTACTGCAATTACTCTTTGCATGCAACATACCCTATCTGAAATAATATCTTTCAATAATACCCTTTAACTGATTTGTTAAATTACTTTTTACTGATTGGACATGCAAATGACCAAGAATGTTACAAAATACACAAGGCAGCTAGGCATGCAAGGCATAAAGACAAGCTATAGACACAATTTTTTAATTAAAAGAACCCTGAGGGATTTCTTTGTGACTTAGCCCTTCAACTCCCATGAGTGACCAAGACAGAATTTCTCCTCACAATATCAATACAATATCAACCAGATGAGTGATGAGAATAAAGAAAAATTTTAATTTGGGATAATTGGTTAATCCAATACTAAACTCTCTGACCTAACATTGTACAAATTGTATGGTTGACAGTGAGGAGAATTACAAATTTGATCTGGAAATTAAAGAATTAAAGAACAATGCTATTTCATCCTATTTTACTTACTAATTGTAAATTAAAGTGAATCCTTTCATGCTTTACAAATTTCTCTTAATGCCAATGTAACAATAGCTTTCTATAATACTACTAAATTATGAAAAAAGGATTAATCATGAACTTATAAACATCATTGCCACACAATGCATGATGGCCCTCATTCTGCAAGCATTTTCCAGCTGCAAAACAATACTTAACTATAATATTTTTCATGTATTTCCATCTAAGGAATTTTCTTAGAAGTCTTTAAAAAAATTTATTTTGCAATGGCTTGCATGGCCGACACGTCTTGCATACCTTGCCTCACCAGCTCACACTTTGTAGCAACCCAGAACCAGGTGTGTTGATTAACACACGACTACTGCACCAGTGTTGCAAAGCCCCAACAGAACTGCGAAATGGCTTTTGGAATTCCTAGGAATTCCTAGGATTTTCCTAGGAATTCCTAGGAATAAAGGTGTGAATTTTCACGGTAAATTCGGACTGGGAATTCCCAACCATAACAACTCTGGTTCTAAAAACCTAGAAATTCCTAGAAATTCCCAGAAATTCCCAAAAATTCCAAGTTTATAGCCAACAGGACTTGGAATTCCTAGGAATTCCTAGGAATTCCAACTCAGAGAACCAATGACTTTCCCTGAAAAGCTGTAAATCTAAAAAATTCCTAGGAATTTCTGGGAATTTCTGGGAATTTTTAGGAATGTTTAAGAATTACTGGGAATTTTAAGCAAAAATTTGAGGCTAATGATATAAAATAAATACTTTAAATTAAAAAAACCCAGCGAAAATTCAAGTATTCAATGAAATTTATTTAGAAGCTTAATTTAAGGCTTACATGTAAAATATTTTTGATTAATTATTAACATCAATGTGTGGTAATATTAAGATGGAATTTGATTTATTTTTCTTTTCTTGAAAACTTCATATGGATTAATCCTCAATTACAGCTATTCATATAAAATAGTTCTAATCAATCATTAAATTTGGTTTGACACAAATTTTGAATAAAATCTGTTGATTCTTTTCCATAAAATACAATATCTTAAGTTATATTTGAAAACCAAGCACTCTTGGGAGTGAAGGGGCTCATTAAAGACAAATAAAATTGATTTTTTGATTAAAATCTTGTTGTAACTGTAACAATAAA